AGGCAGCCATAGCCACGCTGCCTGCTGTAAGCTGGGTTGGGCGCAGGTTGGTCCTTGGGTGCTAGAGGCATCTGTGCGGTGAGGATCGGGGTTGAGAGCGAAGCGGGAGTCATACCTGGTGCTTGAGGCGAGCGGCATTGGCCGCATATGCTCGTACTTCGGTGAAGCTGTTGACGTCAACTTCGGCATTGTAGTAGTAGGCTAGATAGGATCTGCCATCTTGTAGTCTGGGCGCCGAGCGCCAATAGGATACAAACTCTTGTTCTTTGTTGATGATGATGGGAGACAACTTCAGCATTGTCAATTATGAACTATTGCTGTGTTCTTATTTGGTATAACTCGTGATTCCATTCTGCTTATGGTTCGAGGTCATGACTATTTGGTCACTCTTGTATGATGCTGTTTGAGTTCGGGAATTCGCTATTGCTCATCTTCCTTGCACTTGCGAGGTCTGAATTCAGTCTGTCTTGGGTCCTTTCCCAGTCCCAGCCTCTGTGGAGTGTGTCCCATACCCTTATCCTCAGGGGTCACTGCTGCTGCGGCCTTCAGGCCTTAATTTCAGACTTTCAGTCTGTATCTAGACTCTCCTTTTGACTTGAATCTTGACTGGGACTTTATCTCTTTGACTTGTTTTGAAAAGGCACACCTACTGCTTGAACAGACACACATACTGCATGACTCCTTTTGAACAGGCACACATACTGTACGGACAGACACATCCCTTGCATGAACAGACACATCCCTTGCATGAACAGACAGGTCCTGCACACCCTCTGGATGAACAGATGTGACTCCCACATGTGCATATTGCAACTGTTCGTCCAGGGGCACAACTGTGACCTTTGACATTGACTTTTGCCTTTAACTAGGATGTGACTTTTGACCCAGAGAACATGCTCTTTGATCTGCTTTCACGAGTTGGGCTTTGGGCGAGTGACCGCACTAAGCTGCTCTCGTCAGTCAGGGTCTGAATCGGGTAAAGGCCCTTTTAACTGGGGCGCGACCCTAAGTATGAAGATGGGTATGAGGTCGTCCAACCTCTTCGACCAACAGCAAGGTCAGGCCAGGGTAACATTCTCCTATGTAAGCTCCTATTGAATAACGGGCGGCCATGCCAGTGATTACGTCAAAGTTCAAACCTCCAGGGGTACTAGTGCAACTTGCTAGCTTCAGGCTAGCCAGTAGCTTGGAATATTGCGAACACCTGTGATTGCTGCGGTAATAATACCCATGCCTTCAATTTGGGGAATGTGGCCTGCTGTCTCGGAGACACAGATCTAAAAGCTTCTAGATATCTGCGGGTGTCTCGCCTACCTTATCCTCCTTCCAGTGCTGTACAGCGCACAACAGAGGTCAACCAAGCTCAGGCTCTTGCCGCTCTAAGACTTCTGATGTCAGGGTAACCGGGGAAGTGTCAAGTGGACTAAACCCAAAACATGCAGCACTTCAAGTTGCTGCTTATTTATTATGTGTGATTGTAATTCTGCCTACCCTGCAGTTGTGTACCCTACTTCTACATTTCTGTCCATCCTACCTCTGCAGACTGTCAAAGTCTTGTGACGCTTATCGGTACAGTTGTATATCCTAGTTCTAAATTTCATCCTATCCGTACAGCTGTGTACATGGACCCTTGACAGCCTGCATAATCCCAACCAGTGCTTTACCAAAGCAAAAAAAAAAGAAAAAAAAAGAAAGTGCTGTCATGCTAGCTTCCATCCAAGAGAATGCCATTGGCACCCCTCCTCACTGCCCCTCTCTTCACCTCCTTCGTTTCACTGATGTCTGGGCTTTCCTGCCCCTCTCTCTAGTTACATGGTGTGGGAGATGTGATTGCGCTCCATCTCCCTGCCTTTACTATACAGCTCATACAGAGTTCGAACCCCAATGATTCTTGCTGTCCTTCCATCTTGGTTCCTTGGCGGTTAATATTCACATCGAGAGTCGTGGTAGTATTTGTAACCTCCTTGTTTGTGCGTGCGTGCGTGTGTGTGTGTGTGTGTGTGTGTGTGTGTGTGTGTGTGGTGTGTGTGTGTGTGTGTGTGTGTGTGTGTGTG